GGGCACTTATCACGCAACGATCAAATTCAAAAGATAGCACGTTCAATAAAATTCAAGGAGAAACTTAGAACAAATGAAATATTTCAGTGAACTCTTTACATTACCGAAATTTTTTTACCCCTTCGTTGATGTAATTAAAATTTGATGCGAGCGTCTAAAATTCTAATAAAGAGGAGCGTATTAGCTGTTTTAATAAACATAATTGCGTGTGTAAAAGCAGACGCTTTGAACACGCAACCGATTTAAATAGTTAAATGATATACAGCAGAAATGGAAACGCTGAAGTACAGACCATGTAACTATAACAAAAATTTTCATATCGTGAAGAAATTATTGTGAGAACAATTCCCATTGTTTGGCAACAACAATAAGGCACGTGCCACGATTATTCTCCTGAATTCATGTAATTTTCACGTGAAGTTCGGAGCATAAATTCCTTGTAATTACCTGCGTCGTGGAGTGACATTTTCTTTAAGTCAGCAGCAATGAAAAACCCAATATACATCATCGCAGGTGGGGCTAATGAAGACATTTTAAAACAATATATTCCGCAAGACGTACATTTCTGACAGTTCGTTCTGTTTTACACAGGAAAACTGAAAAACGTGAGTTAGCTCCAAAGAATCAATTAAGGCACTTAGAAGTAAAGAAAAAATTGCGTCAATCCACTGAATAGCCAAACCGCTGTTTGAGAAATGGAGAAAAAGGTTGCTAGCTTTGAGAGCCAGAACACATGTTAGCTTCAAGTTGTATGCCACTTTATTTATTTCGAAAAGATAAATTATCGCCGGTTCTATTTTGTAAAATACAACAAAAGTGTCGTCAAGGCTGAAAGTACCTCGTAATTGTTTTGTTTAATATACGCAAATTACCCATCTTGTGTTGTCGCGTGCCCACCGCCCACGTGTTTTACACGTGGTTTAATGCAAAACTGTTCGTAACAGGTGGACGCGAGATTCATTTCATGAATGCTCTTTTTTAATGAATCTCTGAAATAAATAACTTTACAAAGTTCTTCATCGTCGCGTATTTCAAAATTTGAATGTAATATTAGCGAATGCACGATTAATAAATTTTTACTGATAATTAAGTGTGCTCTTTCCCACGCTTGGCTTTCGTTTAAGTTGGTAGACCCAAATTTAATGTCACGCTTTACGATTTCCGTTCCTACAACAACGCTTTGACATGGCCGATTGTCCGTTTAAAATGCAAATGCTTGTTATGGTTGGGAATTTCGTAACCGCATGCCAACTCGACTAGCGTATTTGCGCTGGACAACAGATATATAAATTAAGTACAAACGCGTTTCAGCCAATCAGGGGAATGCCATAATACGTGTTGGTTTTAGCGATACTAAATTTATACCTGATAGCTGCCTCTCATTTATTCCTTACGTACATTCTCAGCTTTTTTCGAACTTTCCTGTGCACATACTCAAAGCTCAAGATTGCAGAGGGTTAAATAATTACACCCTGATAAGGCCGGTTTCATCATTTTACTATTTCTCAAAATTTAGACCTAGGGGGCCTATGAATTGTAACTTATCGGTTATATACATTAAATCTTTAAACCAGAGTAGCATCAAATCATGTCTGAAGAATCTTCTGTTGACATCAACTTTACTCACGATCGCAACTATTATGTGATAAATTTAATTTTTTTAGTTTTTCTTGAATTCCATGCCCGCATTACAGCACCAGGAGCCAAGACGTACACAGCGATAGCACAGTTATAATGGCTTGCTGTTTAATATAAATGTAAAAAAGGTAATTCTGAGGATCTCTTATTTCTACTGTTAGGACTGTGGTGTAAAGTTTAGCGGGGTTAAACGGGTTCATATGTAAAGATGTTTGCATTAAAGTATCTCAGTGTTGATCCGTTCCTCTCGTGAAGAAAAGTTATCTTAATTCTATTAAATATATCCTGTTCGATATATTCAGCAACTGTGCAAATTACGCCAGTTACCTTTTTTTAGACTCGTCACAACAGAAGATATCGCTATTAACTCATGAGGAAATGCGGAGGTAAGCAGGATCCTTGTTGTCTGGTGAAGAAAAGTTGTCTAAATTCTATCATCCTGTTCAATATGTTCAGCAGCTGTGCAAAATTACGCCAGTCACCTTTTTTAGACTCGTCACAATTGAAGACATCGCCATTAACTTATGAGGAAATGCGGGGGTAAGCAGGGTCCTTGTTGTTTAGTTCCCAAAATTATAACCCGCTACGGTCTTCCGTTTTGTTTTGATAACTCGGTGGGAGCTGGTGAGACGTCAGTTATGACTCCTATGTGAATACACCGTGAGGACCTGGGAGAAATCCCAGGAACTGAGAAAGACTGCGTGGGTGGCAGTAGTCGGATGACGTTATGAGCCGAGACAAAGGACTGATAAAAATAAAATATATGACCATCGTGAAAGAGGCTAATACTCATCGCGGTAATACGTAATGATAAACTGTGGTTTATCAGAGCCTCTTCGCCGTTACCTACAACAAGGCATCCGCGCAGTCTTTAAGTCCGACACGACACTTAGATCGCATTTAGGGCGACCAGAGGAACCCTGTCAATCCAGCTAGACAGGACAGCGCGGTTTTCAGGATTCCCTGTGAATGCGGCAAAATCTACATTAGTGAAATGAGAAGATCTATGCAAGAGAAGATGAAAGAACACGAGAGGCAAATATGTTTAGCCCGTACATAGACATCCACCGTTTCTGAGCGCGCCAACCGGCCACCGCCCGCTTTGGAATAAAGTTAAGTTTATTGATCGAGACTCGCACTGGTACATGCACCCGAGAGTCAAGGAAGCTATCCACATAAGACAAATATATGACCATATATGTAATAAAGTGTTCTTAGTCTCTCTCTTCTTCAATTTTCACACCTCGGTGGTTTCACACACTTCTCGCGCGCCACATAGCCTTGAAAGTAACTCTGTTGCTGAGTAGATTTGGGAAAATCAATCATCGATGCACTCGACTTTGGTGAAAAAGCAGTGTCTGTGTCAAAACGGACGTTTTTGGTTTAAAATGATTGGGCCATGAAAGTTTTCAAGAGTCTCCTGAGTACATGTAGCCGCGAATGTGGCCTGCAATGCAGTTGCGTATTAGACGAGGGCACATAATTTATTTGCGTCCACAAACAGAGACTTAAAATCATACATTTAGAACTGCTACTCGCCCGACATCATTAAAATAAAGCTATCTTTGCTAAAAAAAAAAAAACAAAAAAAAAAAAAAAAACACGACACGTGTCACCCACGCCAAAGCAGAATGGTGACGATAGATCATTGGTGCTAAAGAAACTGTGGTGCTGCGTCGGTGGAAGAACATAGTAACAGAGTAATTTGTTATTGTCAACCGAGTTGATAGCGTAAATGGAATTGGCCACAGTAAAGAGCTTCAAAACTGACGTTTCGAGCGTTGGCCCTTCGTCATCGCTCTGAAGAAGGGCTAACGCTCGAAACTTCAGCCTCGAAACTCTTTACGGTGACCAATTAACGTTATCAAATTAGCTGATAGTGCCAAATATGACAACAGTTCGCAAACAGCAGGGAAAAGAAGGGATTTTTAAGTTATGTATATCTTTTTCTTAAAAAGAAAGATACTATGACTCTACGGTAGCGTATCGAGTGGTATATCAATCACTCAGATCGCTGCCTCGGGGTATGTATCTCGCTCCAAGCATATCACAGCGTAAGGGTATGCTTTTACCAATCAGAGAGTAAAGGACTTATTTTTCTTGCCAATTAAGCCTCGGAATTAGCTAAGGTGCTGCAAAATGTTGTAATGTAATCAACCCAACACTGACGCGCACAAGTTAAGATATAAACAAAGGAATTGTGAGCTCATCTACCCAGTTTAATATTTTATTTCCTTCATGGGGACCTTGTCGCTTTGATCTTTCGAGGCTAGAGAAATTGGCAGAGTATTCTTCTGCCATTTAAAAGTTAGAACGTGTATTGTGTAGTTTCTTCTCTTACAACACATACACCGTCAGTTAAGGCCTAACAAAATTATCACTGGAGCTTTTGGTTTGAGGGGCTAGTTTTGCCAACTGTGGGAAAAATTACGCGAAGCATTTGCTTAAGGCGTATTTGACAAGGATAATCTTGCTTTTGACTTGTGGTTTCTCTTTTGGTGAAGACTGAAAAGATCAGCAATTTTTATTTAATTTCTACTTCGAATACCATGTTGCATATCGGTTTCTTTACTTTTACAAAGTTCTCCCTGATCTCGTGTCGTTAGTTCGAATTTTTTAGTTGTTGCCGTGACGCTGACATTCAAAATCTGCCCAAAAATTTAACAACTAAACTTTTCCTGGCAGAATAATCAAGTAAATGTAGTTACGACGTCATAAACAGTAGAATTCAATTCTACCTTAAAAGAAGAGAATTTTACCATTTGAATCAGCGAACTGTTTCTAACAGAAGAAAAGAAATAATATTTTCAGTAATTGTCGTGACGTTGAAGACTGGCCTAACGCTGACAGCAAACAGGTAACGGCTAATTGATGTTTCACGTTTGCCGTCGTTCTTGCACTGAAGAGCGTATTTCTGAGCATAAAGAGAATCGATGGACTGTCAGTGAAAATCGTGTCTTTTTCAAGTTATTTTGCCATAACACTCCCTTTGCCATAACACTCCCTTAAAGGTTTCGTCGACTCATTTCACGGTGGAAATTTCCAAGTTTCAAAATTCGACAAGTGTGCGGTTTTTACCCTATTATGCAACTTTTTGTGTTTCTTTCGGCAGTCACCGGAAAGGTGTAAATTATCCTACCAAAACAAGACTTTGCCCAAGTAATAAATTATTCTTCTTCTTTAAGCACAACCGTAAATTACCAACATCTCGTGTTTTATTTTTTGCAAAATTATATGGTTTATTGTTTACAAAGAAAAACGAATAGATATTTCTCAAAGCAACATTTAAAAGGTGTTGAACAGTTTCAGTCTAAAGGTCCGCGTGGAGGGTCAGAAAGCTGATCAAAATCTGTAATAGTCGACAAAACTAGATTGAACATCGGCAAGTTTAGCATATTCTACTCTGTATCGACGTCAGTGTCTCCAGGATCATTAACTCTCGGGAGCATTGCTCTCCAGCGAGCTCCCCCAGTTCTTTTGGGCATCGCATTCCCTTTCGATGACGAGATGCTTGTATTGTTGTTCTGCGGTCTGGTGACATCACTTACATCTTGTTCCGATACTTCCTCAACTTGGCGTACTCTTTCGTTGATGTCGCCTTGAAACGAAGGCCCAGTTTCATTCGTATTGTGATCGATTGAGTTTCCATGATCATCCCAGATAATTTCATCGGCGTTATTAGCTACATTTCCTGTGGTAGAAGAGGACGCGCCGGCCTGGACGCTTGATATTGATAGAGAATCTTTCGGAGTTTGGGGCACCATATTCCGTAAAGAGGATCGGCGCGTGTTCGGTGCTGGACGAAATTCCCTAACGTTGCGGATTTCCTTGCCAGGTACATAATCGGACTCGTCTTCGTCATCGTCATCGTCATCGTCATCATCCTCTGAAGGCGAAGAATACGAATCCGAACTGAGGACAATTTTTTTCTTTTTGGCTTCGCACTCTTGGTTGGAATATCGTTTTATAGGGGTAATCTTTCTTTTATTTTGACGCGTGTTACAAGGTCTATTCTTGGCAGTAGACAATGATAACGATCGAGTCGACTCTTGAAGTGATAGCAACTGAGAAGCTGCAACGACCACATCCTTCGACCCGGACGTTTCCTTGTGCGGCTGAGTGGGTGGGACATTCTTCTTTATAGCAAATCCTTGTCCCAATGAGACCATCTGTTGGCCCGGAGTCGAAAACGACGCCGAAGAGGCCATTCTCACTGCAGCAAGGCCACGTTGTTTACGCCTAAAGGTCAGTATTTTAGGTTTTGTGCTCTGGATCCCCCCTCTAGGAGGAGGATGCCTCTCAGCGAAAACAGGTCCAATTTGAGAAGAACGATTAACTGGAATTCTCGAAAGGAGAGCTGGCCAACAGAATAAAGAGTTGAATCGCGAAGATAGCATTCTGTACTCGTAGGAATTTCGATATGAAGTGTTATTTAAAGGAATGACTGTTTCAGCCTGTTGTCTATTGCTCTGAACAAGTCCGTTGGTCACAAAACCGGTTGTGGATGATCCGTTTCCTTTTTCGTTAACTGTCGCCGTTGGTGTAACGACTCTCATTGGTGAAGGACTAGGATTTTCACTTGACAGTGTTTCTTTTTTCCCATTACGATTAAAGCGACTTTGCGCTGCCGCTGTTTCAGTACCCTCTAATAGCTTAGCCTCGTGGCCAACTGATATAGAGGATTCGTTATTCAATTCTGACACATTGTTCCCTTCTTTATCGAGTGGATTTTCAAGTGATACATCGCGATCGTTCGCGATTTCACCGCCCAAACTGCCCTCGTTATCATCAGTTTTGTTCACTAAATTAGAACGATTCGGTTGATTTGCACCCGTAACCTCGTTTCCACACCCAGATGTCCCACTTGACTCCTCGTTCCCATGACTACCGGATTTGTTTAATGAAGAAGACTGCCCAAAAGTTGATGAGACTGTACCGCTAACTCTGGGAACTGTTTTTAGCATGGCGGCGATTTTCTGCAAATGAGGGCGGAGCAGTTGAAGGGACTTGTACGTTTTTAGCGTTGTGTAGCACGGGGGAAGAGGAGGAATCGCCGGTGCACGCCTGCGCGCAGCCTGGCTTGCTAGAACAGCAGAACCGGCTGCAGGTGGTTTATTTAAAGCTCCCACTCGATCCGAGCCAGAATGGGCATTTTCACCTGGTCCGGGTGCCTCTTTATTGGTCCTGGTATCTGGAATTTCTTTGTGAAGAGATGATTCCGTATCTGTATTATCAAGTTCAAGGGTATCGCTAATTTCGCTGTGTTTTTCCTTATTAACTCGTGATTCAGTGTCGGTAGATTGTTCAGCCTCTTCGTGATTTTTTGCCACTACTGAGGTTTGTTTGTCTAATGTGGAGATATGCAAGTCAGGATTGAGAGTTTCATTGCCAACGGTTTCCCTTTGAGCCTCCATTCTTTCAACACCACCGCACGTTTGTCCCTGAGGCTGTTCTTCATTTGAATTAACTTCCTTGCTCTCCACAGAGGCGCCAGTGTTAGGGCCAACACTGGTGCTTGTCGATGATACGGAGGATGGAGTCGTGCCGGTCTGCTGAATAGCTTTTAGGACTGTGGCAATGTCGATACTGAACGCCTAGGAACGTTAAAGGAAAAGCTGATGTTACACGATAATATTTTTCCATAATAACATTGGAAAAATTGGCTTGCAGGCCAAACTGTCACAAACAAAAATATTACAAATTACTTTTTTAAAAGTATATTTTATGTGATCATTATCCTCCGTCGTTTGAAACTTTAACAGTCCGACGCAGTTTTCGGCTGAACAGGCATTTCTACCGTTATAAAATACGTGTGTAAGAGCGACATGTCTTCTCATTGTGATACACTGGCATATTCCTATGGCTACCCTTGTTTTTCCTTTATCCGTGAGGCAACAAGTGGTAAGAAAATCTACAACAAAACAACCATGTGTCGAAGTTGCGGAGATTGACTCTTCTACTACCAAAAATCGAATAAACGCTATCAAAATTGGTGCAACACTCTTTACTCGAGAGTTTTGTCTATTCTCATTACCTGTAAACTAGACAATGATTCTGTAGGGAGAAGTTACAAGCTCATCTCGACTGGAAATTAAAAGGGTTGAGCGTGAAAAGCGAAAATAAGGTTTACTTAGCTTTTTCAGAAAGTGAACCTAATCTGTTTATTTCTAGTACAATGTCTGCATACCTGCAGAAGAAGCGAGAATGGCCCTAACGAGCCGGATACCGCCACCTGCTTCTCTCCGCCACTGCTTATCGTGTGACGTTGCTCTTTTTTCTCGGCAACTTGCTTCCGTTTGGACAGCTGTTTGTCGCGCATAAGAACACGGTGATGAGGCTGCTGAACTCGGTTTCTGTTTCCACCCTGTAGGGAAGCAAAACATAGAAATGTGAGGGGCTACTGTACTTATCATTTAGCCTTCCACGGGTGCAAAATGGGAAGAACAGGAAACAAGTCTCCTTGTGTAATATCCTGCAACGTTCCTCTGTGGGAGAACATATAGAATAACGACCTCCCGAACAGGTAGGAGGGTTACATCGGCTAAGTCTTACGGTTACTGCCGCACCCAGTCGTGGGTTTCTGTAACAGGACACGACTTGCAGTATGGGCATTCCTCTTGGAAGGTAAATGAAAGTGTGTCAACGTTTCCTTTACAACAACTGCTACATAATTCCCTGTCCAAGATGCAGCGTGTTTCTATTAAATTTGCATAGGAGAAGTTTATGTTTTAGCAAGGTATCACCCCTAATTGATAACTTCATCTTTTTTTCCAAGTGTTTGGAGGTAATGCTTGGAGAGGTAACTAAATTATAAAGAAATGTATGCTGACTAGAAGCGACAATTGCTAATCTGATACTAAGAATTAAGGCAGAAAAACTATTCAAAACTGGATAAGGACACTGAGAACCAACCGCTTTCCTTGTGCGCGGGAACTTGTCCTCTTCACTGCCAGTATTTGCCTCTTTTTGCCCTTCTTTACATTCCTTTCCAGGTCTTTCTTCCTGAACCTTCATTCTCTCTGCCTCAATTTGGTCGCCACCACCATTAATGGTGGCCTTTTGAGCTCTTTTACGTTCTTTTTCAGCTTTTTCTTCCTCAGCTCTGATTCTTTCTTCTTCTCGTCTCTCCGCTCGTTTTTTCTCTCTGAATTTTCTCTGAGTCGCTCTTCTCATCGCACGAGCCTCTTCAATGGGACGTGGCGCACGTCCTTTGCGTTTCCTCTACATACAGATGAAATTATGGTACTGTTTACGTGAATACCACCGACATCACTATTCAACCTTCCCATACCTTAACCGTTAATCTGAACATCGTTAAGATCCGGGTGACCTAAAATGCTTCTGCTCGCAATTCAACCAATCAGCAAGGTTGTTTTTTTAATTTCCCGAGACTTTTCTCCGAAATGTCAATTTGAATCCAATAAAAATTCATTGCTTTTTCCTTGCCTTCGAAGATTCCCCCCTACCATTACCTGTACATTGGCAACCTTACTCATCCACTGGTAATATGAGGTCATGCAAGAAGAGCGTTGACGGTCACGGTAACAAGTGTTCGACGACACAAGGCGGTCGAAAGTCTGGGCATATACGAACATTAGGACGCGCAAGTGTCCTACGAAGCGGCCCGACATAGCGCGTCCACACTATACAACCCCACAAATTACGATGTCATGGCAATTTTAAACCGTGCTTTTGACGAAGCTCAAGGCAAAATGGTGAACCAAACGAATAACCGTGAATAAACAACTTTGTCTAAAGAAAGTGCCAAGTTTTGTTTCCAATTCCTTTTGTTTCCTTTTGCAGACTTCGATGCACATTTCAAATTCATTTCCTAAATATTGCATGGCAGAGGGTTGTTTCTTACATTTTCCTTTATAACTTTGAGCGAGAAATTGGCGCAAGACTGGACAAAATTGACGTATATACGCATGCCTTGTATTTTACCGCTGTGTTATTTGAAATCTTTGAGGAAGCCCGAATTGTGACATGGCTGTATGGCTAATGACAGTTACTTGCTATTCGTTCGTTGATCTCGTTACTTTCAAGGAAGCATTCTTGGCCGACATTTCGAATTTTCTCTTCGATTTCTTGTTCGACTTGATGGTTTGGAATTGGTACCCTGCAATTTTCGGGAAAACCTATCCTCCCCTCTTGAGGGACTGCTTACAGGGACACTGAAAAGATTAAACAAGACTTAATCGCACTTACCACAACAGGGATATCTGGAATGTCAAGATCCTGAAAGTAAAAAAAATAAATAAATAAAATAAAAGCCAGGTAAACACTGATAAACAAAAACTCCCTGAACCACCAACAATCAAGAACACGAATAGGTGGCCAAGAGCAACGCCTTTCAATAGAAGCGGCATTGATAACGGCATATGTGCTTTGTGAATGAGTATTCGCTGTATACTTTACTACAAAATTAATAAATTTGTCTTGTAACTTCTGTATTGGCTTTTCTTACCTCTTGTTCGATTAATTTCAGAAAATATTCGCAACTTCACAAGTAGAAGGCAGTAAAAAGATAGAAGTCATTCAACGCTTACCTCAGGTTCAAGTTCCGGTCTTTCTTGTCTTCTTCCAGTGAAGTTGGCTACCAGTTCTCTTCTCTTGCGAAGTGTATTTTGACGATAGTGTAACGACTGCAAGGAATAACAAAAAATCCTTTCAATGAGCGATTCTATTCGAACTACCACACCTCTGAAGACAACGATACACAAATTCTCCTCAAGTCGCAAGTTTGTTTTTTTTTTAAAGTAACGGCAGCTTACAGTCAACTTACTCACGACATTTTAGGTATTTTGTGATGAGTGTAACCTTGGAATGCTCTCTCCTACATAACTGCGCAGTGTACTTGATTTATAAAACACGCGCCAGTCTCCCAGTAAATTCTGAACGAGGCTAACAACCAACCGCGACCTGGCCACTCGATTTTTTATTGTGATATTGACTTTCATGGTTAACCGTTGTGATAACCTTGGTATTTATGTTAAAAGCACTCTAAAGAAGGTTTGCCATGTTGGTGACTACCTGATGAATCTTGGAGTACACTGTTAAAGTCTGTTTCATCTTTTTCCTTTCAACACGTGCTCATCTCAAATGCAAAGAGTATACAACAACTGAGGGAATACGGTTCAGTTGTAAACATTGCAGAAATAAACCCTCTCTCTGGGCTCGTGCGGTCAGGGAAGGAAACACTGCGTGGCGCCGAACTCTGAAGGATCAAACTCTGATAGTCTAGACTCTAAGGGACCAAACTCCGGCTGAGGGACCAAACTCTGAGGGACCAAACAGTGAGGGACCAACTATTTGGTCAACGCGGAGTAACTGAAGGATCCAGCAAGTGAGATCTGCCTACAATTACTAATCCTTCATTTACATCCGCTGTAGAAGACGTTTATTAACTTGGTAACGAGAGAAAGTAACTCACATCATCCTTGCAGATCACAATCCATCGGCGCCAACATTGATTATCAGTTCGATTACCCATGGCACGTGCAATTTTAGACCAATTTCCTGCAAACAATTCAAACATCTGATTAGTTGTAATCAGGGACGGGGATTGTCAATTGGAATGTCCGAAAGCATTTGTTTGTGGAAGCAGCAATGACAAGCCTGTTTTGTGGGAATGAGCCACCGACCAACAATGAGGGTTGTGGTTGTCAGAGCAACGACTTTGTAATCGCTCTTTCGCTTATTTCTACCAAAGGAGAGCCTAACGCAGACTGAGTAGTTATCTTGTGTAAGTGCGCTGTTTAACCGCTTTTTCAGTCTGGGTTGGAGTCCTGGCCGGTAATTTGTGTTGTGTTTTGGAATAGGCGTACCACTTTCCACTCAGGAGTAACAAATGGATACTTGTAAACTGTCACGAGAAAGCGACAAAAAGCTGTGGGGAAGGGAAGGGGTGGTAACCTGAGATTGACGAACATTTCCGTGCGTTGGCAGAGTTAGCAGGTAATTCCTTTTTGTACGGATGAGTGCACCAGGGAAGGAAAGAGGATAGGAGAAAAAGAAGACACGTTTTTTTTTCTCTAGTCGGTCGACCAAGCTCACTCTTGTGCTTCCCAGAGGAGGGAGGAAAGGAACGCCTGATCGCAAGTTAAGTCAGCAGTGAAGAAAATAATTTAACTGACAGCTCAGAGGTGTCCTGACTCAACATTATTATTGCAGCTCTCCACTAAAACTGGCCTCTTTCTCAGCGCCGAATGAGAACAACGAAATTTTATCTTCCGTGTTAGTTAGCTTTAACATACAGTAACAGCTCTTTACGCCAAAAATAAAAATTGCAGTTAAGTTAAAAATATTGACCCTTCTGTAGGCTTGAAAGTAGCCTGAGTTCATCCAATCTAAAAAGAACAGCAGAACGGGACATAAGGTAACGGAAAGCAGTTATGTAGTAAAGACAATCTTCTCACACAATTTAAGTACACAAACCTTTGCCAAATTTGTTCACATTTTCCAAAAGGTCTTTGTCCTGCTCTTTGGTCCAAGGTCCTTTCTCTATTTTGGGATCCAAAGCATTTACCCATCTACAAATAACGATGATTATTTCAGTATAAGCAAAGAAAGAAACCGACAGAACTACCCACATACGTTAGACTGTCTCGTACATCGTACATAACTCTTTCTTTTCCCTCTTTTATTTCCCGTTGGTGGATGGCTGAGAGAGAGGGGAGGATTAGTAGGCCGAAGTTTTACTTCGCGTCAGCCATTTGGAGGGAGGGAGACTGGGTTGCCTGATGACACCAAACAATTGCTAATGAGAAGAAGACTTCTTAAAGAAAACCGTGAGTGGTCAAGGCTTTCTTCCTATAAAGATTGAAACTTAGTGACACACCTTTCTCGACACTGAGGACCTGATCTTCCAGGTACCATATCAGAAAGTTTACTCCAGTTACACGGCCCATACTTGTCAATAGCCTTCTTCAGAAGCTAAAAACCCAAGACAAATAAAAAATTGTCAATTATTCCACAGGGTTAAAACGTAAAGGAGGAGAAGGGGAGAAATTCTGACCCAGTACTTGTTTAATTCTAAATAAAAATGAAAGTATCTTGGCTTGAAAGTTAAGACATAAGGGAACAACGCATATTTATTTTTGATCCTTTCATGAACAAAGGAGAAAAATAACCTTGCAGCTCTCTGGGTCTAAATTATTTCCAAGTTTCAAAGCAAGACGTTCAACAAACAAACTATTTAAAGCACGTAGCCAAAACCATTCACTAACAAAAACAGAGACAGAGAAAATTTTCATGAACTTTCTTTTTCCCTTCAATTGTAAAAGCCCCCAGTTATTATCAATTTTTTTCACCACACACCACGATACGTTAGCGCCTTAAAGGGGAGACTAAAACACTCAACCTCGTCTTCATGTTTTTCCCATTTTCCTTTCCTCACCATCTGTAGTGTTTGTGTGTAACGGTGTAAGCACTGGTCTCCATGGCGACCTTCTAAGAAACTGGCCACTGCCAAGGTGAAAGCCAAGGATTAAAAAGAAACAGAAAAGGATGGCATAACCTGGAAAAGCACTTTCAACCTTTGACCTCAAAGAGTGACCAGCATCTCATTTCTCCTTACAATATCATGCCCCGAGTAAAATATTACGGATACGATAACGAATGCTCCATGTCAGCACCTTAGGAAATGTACAGAGAACAGTATGGAGAATATACATACTGATGTTCAGGTGTAAATGGTTAAGAGACTGATTAGCTTGTACATGCTTCATGTTCACAACCCAGGAAAATTTTCCACATGAATACCACCCATCCCTAGAGAATTTCAGTGCATTAGCCCTCCACCCCACCTTACCCCAGCCAGGAATTTCAAAAAACATTTATAGGGAGTATGAGTACTTTCAAGAAGAGAACCATTAAAAGATGTGAACAGATGATTAAAAAAGAGAACACCATAAAAAAAAAAAAAAAAAAAAATTGAGAATGTGCAAACAAAAATGTTTTCCTTTCCTACCTCTTGGCCAGTTTCCAAGGCCGACAATACGTACAACCTCAAGCAACTGCTGGTCATCTTCTGGGCTCCACTTACTAGATAAAGCCAAGGGAAAAAAAAGAAAAAAGAAAACAAAAAAGCGCAAACAAAAACATAAAAAAGACGAACAAAAACCTTGCATTACATTGTTTCAATCGGAAAACATTTGCACCCTTTTATAGGTGTTTGGTTTGAAAACCAGAACCGATTTGGACAGCTCTGCCTTATACTATTTCTAAATGAATTTTGAAACCTTTTCCTTTCCCTCCTTAAAATTCCTCATTCCCTTTCTTTTGGTGGAGACAGAACTTTTCCTGGTGGGCCTGAGAACTGGCTTTGTGATTTGAAGTTTCCTACACTTCCTCAACAGATTCTAACATTATGACCGCACTGCAATTATCATTAAATCACTTGTGTTGGAGTCATATGGAGGATCAGAAGTAGATGGAGAGCCTTGAGTTACAAATTTGGTGTCTTCATGTGGATCACTCTGTAATACAGTGCATGGTTTCAACCCAAGGGCAAGAGTTGATTCTACTGCCTGATTGTTGGGGTGACTGTAGTCTTTAAAACCTGAAGGAATGTTATCTTTAGTCACAAAGTCAAGTGATACTGACTTCTAACCAGGCTGTCAAAATGACTGTTGCCGTTACTAACAACAGTCCTCTCAAGCTCTACCCTCCCTTTGACAATCCGACAACACTATCAGAGAATAGGAACCTAATTATTCAATGGACCTCAGATAAGGAACCAAATGTTCCTTGTAGCACATGCAGTGCATGTGATTCTTTAAATGTAAGCAGTCTTTCACCTCTTTAGAAGATTCTTGTTAAGGCTTCTCTGATAACGCTCATAACAATGAATAGGTGTGCGCTTGGTCTGAAAACAAACAGAAACAAATGATATATCATTAGCATCAACTACCTTCTCTTTGATTTTCAACTAAGGTTAGAAAAGCTGTTAGTATATTGTACAGAGAGAATGTTTCCATCTTAAGCACAAAATGTGTAGGCTTTAAGGAAGGAACAGCTTGTAAAATAGTTTTTTGTACCTGCAGTTTTTGAGCAATTATATCCCAGGTATTTTGGGGGTCTTTTGCCAGTTTTATTAACTTCTTGTCTTCTTCTTTAGTCCATGCTGTTCTGTTGACATCAGGATGTCCAAAGTTGCACCACTGCAAACGGCACTCAAGTCCTGATCGCTTTGGAAGCTAGTAAAAAATATATTTTTCAATGTGTTTCTCTTCACATGTTCCTAATAGTGTCAGGCTTTTAGGGTGAGGTAAACATACAAAACAAAACATATATATTATCCAACCACATATTTCAGTTTAAAGAACTTACATATTTGCTGCTTAATTTGTCCCAGTCGATATCCTCTAGATCTCGTTCCAGTGTTTCCTTTCCTAAATTTCTAAAATGTAACCAAAAAGCTCTTAGGAAACTGCTTGAAATAAGGTATCTTCAGTTAACATTTTTTTTTGCTTTTTCTATTTAGCAGTATCATTACTTTGTTGTCATAAATATGGACAGATGTAAACTTTCAGGGGGGAAAATATACTAGGAATTTATCACTGAGTTCAATAAGATCTAGATTTCTTATCTCTAATCTTGATGTTCCTAGGGGCACTCATTGAGAAAATTATCAAGCTGATTACACATACCTAATCCTTACACTTTCTGCCTTGAGATCTTCAAGTTCTTTCAATTCCCTCTTAGTTTTCTCTTTCTTACCTTCCAATTTCTTGATCCTAAAGAACAAAATTAAATTACATAAAATGACCAAAGGGAAAAATAGTAGAAATAGAAATTTGGGGACTTAACACTCTGAAATTTCTATCAACCTGGTTCCCTATTCTAAGAACTGATGTCTGGTGCAGCTCTACCTTCATATTCTTCATAATGATGCTGTAACTGAGGTTTAAGCTTGAAAAGTTTGATCCAAAGAGGAATTGAAATGTAACATAGACTGTCATTCATGCTTACCACAAGAAAATCAATGGAAATTCTAGGGCAAAGCAGAGCCCTTCATAGTATAGGTTTAGGGGTTGGCTGGAGAAACACAATGACTATTTATTTACTGAATGTACAGTGTTTATGGCAAACTGTAATAATTATAGCCTCTTTGATGCCTAACCAGTTAAGTTTATTTAATACAATTATTTTGATGGGTGTTGGTCATTTCATTTTTGAGGTACCAAATAGGTTCCTTAAGCCTCTGCTGAGAAATATACCAGTTCTATTTGTACTTACTTTTGCAGCACAGGGGAAAGTTTACTTTCCAAATTTTGCATTCTGACTCCCTCAGCTAGACTGTTTTGCTCCTTGAAATTCCCTTCAAATTTTAAAAAACCTTATTGTGAAGATAACTGTGTTTCTCTTTTATTTTGTTAAGCTGATAACCTGGATCTGTGCTTCACCAACAAAACAAAGTTCCAAGCTACATGTCCAATATTGGCATGTCCAATACTTTGGAGATATTATCCCAGGGAAGAAAAACTTGCCTGTGTTGTTTAAAGGTTAAGAAATCACGTGTAGAAATAGGAGTAACATTACTTATTCACAGTAAAAATTATATGAAAATGGTGTCACCCTCCATACTTAAAACAAGTCAATTCTCTATGCTTCAGGTCAGACAAAGAGTGAACTTAAGAATTCTTGGATCAATGTCAGTATCTAAGAAACTACACACCTACCCCTTCCCCAACTCCACATTAGCCCTAACTTGTTATCAGTCGACTGTTGTTGGGCTAAGGGAGGGGAAGATGTGCAGTTGCATACTGGCATTGATCCGGATTCTTTGGCACTGAGTTATTAGCCCCTCTGAAAAACAAGTACTGGCTCCTGAGAAAATATTCAGGCAAGTTTAGTGTTTTCTGTACATTGTTTGGTATTGAGTATCTCTTAAACATGGATAATTGCTCTGATATTGAGAAAACAAACATATAACTTCCTTATTTTTCCCCTTTTTTCCCCATTTTCAGTGTGCCATTTTCAAAGATTTTACGATGGACAGTGTAGTTGAATTTAACACCTGACTTACAGCATCTGGATGGAATCTGGTAGCCTCCAACCTGAGAACTTTGCCTCTTTACCTTGGTGTCATCATTATCTGGAGGTCCCTAATAAGCACGAGGCTCAGGTGATATATCACATCTCATAATGTTTTCTAAAATACAATGCATAACTTGTAATAAAAAAAACCATGTTTAACTTAATATCTTGAATTGTTTTCACACTGGCATGCTTAAAACTACCTGACACTCAGTTAGAGTGAAGATTGAAGTTGTAATGATACTGAGAAACCATTTGTTTACTATATGACTGCCCTATAAGTAATAATTTCTTTCATGTCTCTGAATAAGCAACAAAACTGTAGTTTCCCTAACAATCAATCTGAGTGAATGACCGCATTGTACAGTGTTTACCAATTCTAAAACTTAAGCCATTCTCCTCTGGCCTTGGACATTACTGTCAAATAATCACCTACAATTTGTCTTTGGACTATTTGACAACATTCAGCTTTCACTCTGTCTTTGTGGACAACAATTGTTTATTATTTTTTTTAAAAAAATTCTTAAGAATGTGTGTTAACTTTAATTATAGCTTACCAGTGAACTTGAATCTTTAAAATAAGGATTGGCAAACTTGATTAATGTATGAGGCTCAGGTTTTGTGTCATCTTTGTTTGCTCTCATTTGATGCAATCCCATCTGATTCACAACAAGACAAATTTTTATGTCAGACCAACAAATGTAAACAAATGCCTTGTCTTACTCAACTGTTATCACCAACTACCCAAATGCAACATTTTTAAATGCTCATTCAAGCAGTTCTGCATGCATATCTTTGGCTTTCTCATTCCAGCACCACCCCTGAATCACATGTTATGGTCATAGGAATAAGGGAAACTAAAAGTCAGAGTAAACTCAAGACTGAAGCTCTCGTTAGTCAATGAAATTCTCTATATCAGGTCCCGGTTGTTCGAAGGTTAGATGGCACTATCCACTGGATAAAACTCTATCCAGTGGATAATGCAATATGTTTTGCTATCTCCTATCTGCTGGATAGCGATTTATCCATTGTATAGCGTTATCCGATCTTTCTACAACTGGACCCAGAACAATAGAAAGAGAATAAAGAACACTATGAAGAATATGCATTCTATTGTTAGGGTGTAGAGAGTTAAAAATGGCTGTACTATTAAATGGAGGGCTTTGATTGGCTTGCATGAGACCAATCAACAATTTCCAATTAATTGTGAAAATTCCACTTTGCAAATTCCTGATATGTATACATGAAGGGGAAAAAAATGTGCTCAGGACTAAACCATGTACAAAATGTTATCATTGTATCTCCATGAGGCCAGTGAAGATAAAACTATTAATAAAAAAACATCGTAAGAAATTATTAGCGGATGCCTAAAAGATGTGAGGTAACTAAAGTTAAAAGCTATCAAAAATTGTCAAAAAACAAAAAAAGAATCACCATTTACAGTGTATTTAACAGTACCTGCTTCTGTTTGTTCCGTTTTAGGGCATGTTCTATTCTTTCAAGTTCATCCAATATTACCAACTGAAATGTGAAAATTAATCAAGAAATAAACAACAGGTAGAGAAACAGGCACAAGCATTTTCAGCTGAGAGTCAATAGTAATCAGTAGGATTACACTGATTTTGGTTTACTTTGCTAGAATGATTGGTAAATTTTGAGGCACCTTGCTTTCAAAAAAGAAATAAAAGAAATAAAAGACTGTACTTGATAGTCTCTGTTCAAACTCAAGCACTGTTGAATTTCACTGCTCATCCCATAATCACAGTCGAGCTCCTTGTCAGTATCATCATTGTACTGTGGACCATGCTCCTCTTGTAGCTGATGGTGATGTTGGTTCAACTCCACTGGCCAGCTATTAGCAGTATGTCCTCCTTGACTGGTATTGAGATTACAAACAGGGGGTTGAAAACATACTGGTTGTAATTCAGTCAAGATGACCTCTTCTGAAGAAAAATTATGGTTTTGAGATGTCAATGAATCAGTGTCAACTTGTGCCTGGAATGGCAACCCACTGATAAGTCCTTGATTGTCCACAGAGGTTAAGGCAAGTGGTGTCCTTTCATTCGATTCTTCTTGCCCATTACAATTCTCTTCCTGAAGTACTTCTCCTTCACTGGTGAGTGTAAAACCATGTTTCTACGAGAAACATGGGTTAAATTACATCAATTTGATATTGTACTAATCATGAAAATCAAACTTCAAAAAAACTTGCAAAAATTTTGTTTGGTTCCCAAAACACATGGCAAATTTTTATATTTTCAACTGGTGCTCTGATTTAATGGCCATCTAGTTCCCTAATCTGTGCCAAAACTTGAAGCCAAAGGCTACCAAGATTTCTACAACTTATCCTGATTTCTGCTAAAAATAAGTAATAGTGCTGATACTGCTTGTGCTCCAGAGTGGATTGCTGACAATACACCACAAAAAGAAAAAAGAGAAAAGTTTCTCTTTTAGGACCACAACAGCATGACCTCTGCTGAGGTTCCACCTAAAAGAGTTGATCTTAATTCTGGTATCCCAATTTTTCTTCTACGGCTGTTGTACTCTCATAAGTAACATTTACCTGTTTATGGTAATAAGAGGCAACTAGAAATACTCACTGAAGCAGAGAGAAAATTATCTGTCTGATGTGGCAACTTGAAAGAAGTTTGATCTGTGGGATATGGGTATACATACACGTCAAAGTGGAAAACTTGTGATTTAGCTCACATAAGAAAATTAACACAAAATATATTAAAGTTCACACGGCAACCAGGTGGACAATCAGACATAGTTTGATGCTACTCTGGTTTGCAGATTTAATGAATGTAACTGAAGAAGTTACAATTCATAGACCCAATGTTTTGACACTCCTGTCTAGTGCCTTCATCAGGTGTGATCTAAATGCTGCAACAAGAGGTCCTTTTATATGATCACTAATTACGATGGCGGCTTGCTTCCTGACGCCTATTTACACCTCGTCAGAAAAAAAAAAAGGCCGCTAATTAGTGATCATATAAAAGGACCTCTTGTTGCAGTGTTTAGATCACCCCTGATGAAGGCACTAGACAGGAGTGTTGAAACGTTGGGTCTATGAATTGTAACTTCTTCGGTTACATTCATTAAATCTGCAAGCCAGAGTAGCATCAAACTATGTCACATAACACAACTTTTATATCATAGATTTTGCTTGTTTCCTTTACTGTGTGGTAGCACCTAGCTAGAAATTGACTATTTGAAAAAACAAGTTATGTACGGTGTGTACCCATAATTCACTCACACCAATCTATAATCGGCGACAAAATTGTTGACACATCAACTTTTTTAATCCCCTATTTCTTTTTAGTTACTATTTACTTCAAAAAGTATTGGTGCTACTCTACATGCTGTCATTATAACTCAGCATGCTGACAAGGTGGACCTCGGTGGCGCTGTATTGTGTAATAGTTCCTACGTCACTGAAGCATTTGCAGCAATTAGCTCCACTCAAGTGAGATAGCCATGATACTTCTTGACGTAAGGGTGAATCTAGATTCAATTGGGAATGGGGAGTTCCAGAATGTTTACTGCAATAAATTTATCGTCTGTTGTGCGTGGCAGTTACTTTGTCCAGCCTAAAAAATTTTACCAAAACAACAAATGAAACATACGTTTCAGGCTTGCGTTTTCAGCACAAGGTTGTTCATTTTCTTCTTCTTCCTCTTCTTCGAACTCTTCATCGTCTTCTTCATCGTCTTCTTCATCTTCAGAAGACAACTTGTTGACTGCATCAGCTGTAACACGGAGGGCTTCGCGAATGCGCTGGATGTCATCCACAAGAAGCTCTCTTTCACTTACGTCGCCTTCATCGGGCTGAAGAGTACTCATGTCACTTTCTTTCCGAACTTTACTGGCTGCAATGTTTTGATAAAACGAGGTGAACTCTCCATCTGAACGATTGTTGGAGAAAGACACAACGACCCGGTTACGTCAGGCTGCCATATTAGAAACAACCTCACTTTCAGGGTGCAAAAGAAACGTGGGAGAGTAGTGATACGTAAGTGAGTGTTGTTGTGTTGTCGCGGATTAAAGGGAAAACTAGATGAAAAATGACTATTGTGGGCTTTTTTTCTTGCTTTTTGTACTTTTTATAATTAATCACAGGGAAGAAAAATGATTTTTTAGTTTGTGCAACACGTGCTGAACCTTCTCACGGGAGTTGGTGAAGGGAGGGGGTAGGGTTAGGTTTTGTCGGGTTTAAACCTGTTACCAGTCCTTTTGAGCTTTTAGATGTGAACGTTTGAATTAATATTTAGTGAAATTTTAGGAAATATTTAAGGTTTTGCTGTAACTGAAGAAGAATACAAGATGAAAATGTTTTCCAGTGTAGTTTTTGTTTAATATTCTGCTACCTGGAGGAAAACTGCAAAAATTGTACTCGTGAAATATAAAAATTTGCTAATCAGGAAAATTATTTCAGTATAAATGGGCCTGTTGGTCTGTTCATCCCAATCAACACTCAAAGAAAACCAGCCTGACATATGACTTTTTTTTATTATTTAAGTTCATTTATGAACTAATTTTTCCATGCGACTAAAATGAATCTTCGATCTAATACTGAAGCAGCCATTACTGTTATGATCCTATTTCTGGACGGTTCATCACAGAGAGAGAAAAGAACTTAGAAAATACTGTGTACAAGGTAGAACTTGGATATCAGTTTCCTTACGAAGTTAAGTAGAAGTTTTAAAAACTAACCTTTCTTCCAACAATAGTTGATTTCAATACTTTGACTTGAACTGGTGATCAAAAATAGCTCATAAGGGTCTTAATGGGGTGATGGCTTTTACAGCTAACTAACGGTTAAAATTTTGGCCATTTTGCAGCTAACGGTTAAATTCTTTCCGTATCCATCAAGAAAAAAATTTTTATGATTAACTTTTTTACAACTAGCAATCAAAATTTTTCAATTTTTTCGCCTAACGGCGACAATTTCTTTTTTAACGTTTCAGACCCTTTCATAGTGGGTTATTTTTAAACAGACATGATGTAATAATAACAATACTACCCCCGTGACTAGTTAAAATTGGACAAATCTAAAGGGAGGAGCATCCTACTTTCGGAGTTCGCTTGTAGCATCTTTCGCCTCGGCCAACCCTCTAACCCACAAGATTTAGATATTAATTCTCTGCACCATCTACCATACATTTCTTATCATTTAGGGTGTAAGAATTTGGTGTCAAATTAAACTATTTCCCAAATGCTTCTTGGATCTTCTTTGATTTTAAAGATATAGTGATTTTGTGATGGAGACAAATGTTATTTTTACCCTATCTTGGAGATGGAACAGTCGGAAAACATAAACCCTACCTTACACGATTTGTAAACTGAATATCAGTTTACGAATACACACGAGACTCTAATGATGGTGACAGTCCTTCTCAGGACTACTCCAACCCTGACTACCAGATTACAAGATCAAATGTTACTCTTGGGTTCACACAATTTACTTAAGATCCTTGAGATTTCATTAACAATAGTCAAATAAAGAGGAAATTGTTGGATCGCTCTCATAACTCATTACTCTTGTTTTCAGCGCTTCCCCACCCCCACCCTTACTCCGAATCACCTTCTTCTTCTGGCGCCGTGAACATCATTTACGCCAGGAACATCATTTACGAGTATGTAAGTCGACTTATATTCTAAAGTTGCATGCCACCTTTGTTCCTCGTTTCGTCCGCCTCTCTTATCGCCGTTTGAAGTTTGCAGGTCTGATTTTCATCTCTGATGTTATGGGAGCGCGAGCTGGATCTGTAAGATCAAATTTTCCCCAATGAATCTTTGCGCCTTCTTTGCCTCCATAAATTGCGTCTTCTTTCCATCCATAAATTCCGTTTAGATTTGAACAAATTTTACAGCCTTCCGGGAACCACCAGCTTTCTCTTACTTTTCCGGGACAGTTGATATGCTTTTGATTCCAAGTGCTAAAATTTGCGCCATTATGAACACTGAGAGAATCATGGACAGTCGCTTCTGTTAAAAAATTAATATCCACTCATAACTTCTTTGAAACTTCAGCTCAATTTTTGTCACGATGAAAATAGAATGGGAAAAAAAGATTTTTTTAATCTCGAGAAGATGAGTAAGGAAGGAAAAGAAAAACGTGAATCTGAGCACTGCTACATTGAGCTTTAATACTTGCATTAGAGATCAGATTTTCAGATCCTTTGCTGAGTCAGGGACTCGTTAAAGGACATACTACACGAAATCTATTCATTAATGTAACAGCACATATCCATGCGGTAATATGCTCACAAAGTACTTAGTCTAGATGAAAACGTTTACAAGAAAAAATAATCGAGGTGATGTATTGTTAAAAAGTTCATATGAAGCTAAGTTCGATAATAGCGATGGCTATAACTGAGCTCTCGTAGTCGTTTTGTTGATACTCGATGGACCAAATTCATCTTCTCTATCCTCTGGCTTTGATTTCAAGACCGGGAAAACTGAAAGGTGCTACAATCATTTTATTTTTCTTTTCCTCCAGAAAATTGTATGCTTTTGCTTCACTGCTTCATTAATTGTGACGCAACGAAGCTACCTGTCATTAATTATTGCTTTTATTGACTTATAATAGTGTGGTTTGATCTTCCAGGTGAGTGTAGTCCTGAGAAGGACTGTTGTCGGTAGTGGTGACTGACGTTTCGACAACCTGAGCGGAAGTCATCATCAGAGTCAAGTGAAAGGTTGTTGTCAGTCGAATGTACTTAGTCCGGTTTGTGTGTTTGTGTGTTTGTGTAAGTATATTCGACTGACAACAACCTTTCACTTGACTCTGATGATGACTTCCGCTCAGGTTGTCGAAACCTCAGTCACCACTACCGACAACAGGCCTTCTCAGGACTACAGTGACCCGGACGATCAAACTACACTATTACATGTTACCTCCGGGTTCAAACCATTTACTGTATTTATTGACTTACTTGCCAAATTGCCAATGTTCAGCTGGTACTTATCCGCTTCGTTCGCAATTCCAAACCATTCATATTCAGCGTAAACGATTTCTTTAGAATCACCCCCGAGATCCACTCTAAGCGTGTTGTTTTTCTTCTCTTGAGTCAGCCGGTGGACCTTATCCAGTCCAAGCCAAAATTCACCAGCGAGGAAACTTCCAAAACCATGTTTGTAGTGAGACCAACTGCGGTTAAAATCGACGGAACCATTTAGTCTTCTCTGGAACACCGTCCAGCCTCCACCGTCTGTTGTCTGATCACAATATACATCAAAGGCTTCTGAGTTGTCAGTTTTGATTGTATAAATACCACTGATTCTCTGACCAGATCTGTGCAGCTCAGCACAATTTTTAACTGTTGAAGAAAAATACGAAAGTTTCGTCAACAAAGTTGCACGTAAATGAGCAGAATGGAAATAAAAAAGCCGAGGATCGTAGATGAGAAAGGAATCTGACTTTCGTCGACCACATCCTATGCCTCTCTGTGACGACTGTCTTTGAGTAAACTTTGATTTAGCCTTAGTGTTAGTGCGCAACCTCGCACATGTATGATTTGTCTACGCAGCCTGTAATGGATGAAATTGACACAGAGAAAATTGAACGAGTGGTAATTTAACTTGTCATCACAATGGTGTAAGAAGGAAATCTTACTTACATGTACGCGCTGAAGCTGAGATTAGAATCACCAACAGTATTGCCCCGAACAGCCAATAAGAAACTCTGAAAAGGGAATTCATCTTATATAATGTGAAGCTCTCTCTTGCTTTAAGCAACTAAAGGTTATAATATGTAACAGTGAAAGACTGAAGAAACACCGTCATTTATAGTCTGGTTTGGAACATATTTAGGCCATTGCATCAAAAGTTATTTTTGGGGGTGTCAAACGTCAAAACTTAGTGAAAGAGTATCAAGGATAGTCTGGATCGACCATACACCTTACCGTGAGCGATGCGCTTAAGCCAGAGTTCTTGCGGTGGGGTAAAATTTGTCAATCAAAATCAGTGTCTTTTACGCATTACCGGCAGGAAGAATGAAACATCTTACGAGCAAAATTGATCTCAACTTGATCCCTACAATCAATTAGCGTTTGAAACTAATTGAAGCAGTGACCGTAACCAAGAAGTTGCACATTGTCGGAAGTATATTTCTAATTAAAAGTCACAAGAAAGTTCTCTTGTTGACTGTTGTGCTGATAATCGAATACCTACGCTGTGCTACATTGAAAAAGACAAACATTACTAGTATTTAATAATTACTAGAAGTTATTGTCATTGAGTTCTCCCACGTCATTTCTTCTGCTAGATAACTTGACATTAATTGCTACCGAGGGATTATAAACTGGGTCATAGGGATAAAATTATCTCAGTTTATAATTTCTTGTAATCGCTTAAGATTAACAAAGATGAGTAAGCCGCCGCCAGGAGTTTTGTGATGTCGAACTTTCCAAGGTTATGCTTAACGCGGGTGTTAATTCTTTTTAATAGCTAAATCCTTTAAATCCTTTTTTTTTAATAACCCTTTGGTGGTCTTAAGTAGATATATCTCAGTCAATTTGTGTCATAAATAAACATCACTCCGCAACTTGGCGTTATTGAAATATCTCCTGGTTGTTTATGGGGACTTATACAGTCACTTAATTAGAAATTTTACCCAGTCAGCTGTACTTACTTTTTTTAGTCAGCTGCAAAAATTAGCTACAAATAGTTTTCTCTCATTTGATTATCGTCATTGCGTTGATGTTGGGAAATCTTGAATACCAAGGACAGTCACACTTGTTGTGGAATATTTCGTATTAAAAGTCACAAGAAAGTTCTCTTGTTGACTGTTGTGCTGATAATTGAATACCTATGCTGTGCTACATTGAAAAAGATAAACATTACTGGTATTTAATAATTACTAGTAGTTATTGTTATTGAGTTCTCCCACATCATTTCCTCTGCTATATAACTTGACATTAATTGCTACCGAGGGATTATAAACTGGGTCATGGGGATAAAATTATCTCAGCTTTATAATTTCTTGTAATCACTTAAGATTAACAAAGATGAGTAAGCCGCCGCCAGGAGTTTTGTGATGTCGAACTTTCCAAGGTGTAACGCGGGTGTTAATTCTTTTTAATAGCTAAATCCTTTAAATCCTTTTTTTTTAATAACCCTTTGGTGGTCTTAAGTAGATATATCTCAGTCACCAGTTTACACTTGTTCGGTCAACTGTGAACATCACTGAGTCAATTTGTGTCATAAATAAACATCACTCCGCAACTTGGCGTTATTGAAATATCACCTGGTTGTTTATGGGGACTTATACAGTCACTTAATTAGAAATTTTACTCAGTCAGCTGTGCGTACTTTTTTTAGTCAGCTGCAAAAATTAGCTACAAATAGTTTTCTCTCATTTGATTATCGTCATTGCGTTGATGTTGGGAAATCTTGAATACCAAGGACAGCCACACTTGTTGTGGAATATTTCGTATTAAAAGTCACAAGAAAGTTCTCTTGTTGACTGTTGTGCTGATAATGGAATACCTATGCTGTGCTACATTGAAAAAGATACATATTACTGGTATTTAATAATTACTAATAGTTGTTATCATTGAGTTCTCCCACATCATTTCCTCTGCTAGATAATTTGACATTAATCATTACAGAGGGATAATAAACTGGGTCCTGGGAATAAAGTTATCTCAGTTTTATAATTTCTTGTAATCACTTATGATTAACAAAGATGAATAAGCCGCCGCCAGGAGTTTTGTTATGTTGAACTTTCCAGAGTTATGCTTAACGCGGGTGTTAATTCTTTTTAATAGCTAAATACTTTTCTAATTGCTAGAAAGATACTTAATCAGCTACATTGTTATTCTGATACCTCGACTGAAGAGTTTAGGGTCCAAAGCAAACTCGTGAATTGACACATGATTTTTTGGATTATGTTTAATGTTATCTGGTTTAGGGAATTTTGTGGTTGATTGTCATATCTAGAGTACGAGCAGTAGTTCAGTGTTCGCTAACGTAGCAAAGAAACAAAGTAACGTTGGGATAAGAAGGCATTACAATTGAAATGATCATGCTATTACATTTGACAAGGGTGGATGATGTCATGTGTTTTAAACGTATATCGTTTTCGTTTCTGGTTCAAAAGAAAAGGTTGGAAGTAAATGTGGGCGGAAAGTGAAATTTACTGTCTATCATTGTAAATATTACAAAATCAAGGCAATACTGTCTTAATGAAAACATTAATGATTCCCTCTTTATCGAATGAGAAAAACGGGAACTACTTTTGAGTGATATAACTAAGCCAAGACTGCCACCGTCATTTTGGATCTCCGCCTGGGTAGATTTTAGTCACGTGCTAGGCAACGTGTACTCAAGAAAAAGATAGAATTTAATTTCAGGCCTATTTATCAATTTTGTGGTGTATAACTTTCGCATTTTAGTACGTAATATTTATTTTGAATCTTCAAATTGTCTTAAAACTTAAAAAGAAAATTGTTCTTCAAAAATTCACTGAAAATCGGTAGCTAAAATTGTTTGTTTAGGTGTTATTTGATTTTCGTGTTAACTTGTAATTTCGTCAGTCGCCGGCATCTTCTGTTGCTTCACACAGGAAAAACACACGATACGAAACGTAATGATCGATTTTGTCCTCAATCTCATGCCATAACAGAAAAAGCTTTTGAACATCTGTAAACTCCGAACACTTCGCAGTAAGTGATATTTTCAATGAATCTTCGGATTGTTTTCAAGTTCAAGAATTGTAAATTACAATTTTATGAAAAACGAAGGTTGTTCTGTTATTTCAGTGTGAATCCTTGCATGCCTGCCAGTTGCTGGCGCCGCTTGTTGAAACTAAAACGAAAAAAAAAAAACTCTTTTAAGATTAAGATTGGCTTCTTTTTCACCCCACCACTATTCTTAGCAACAAAGGTCGCCATTTCGTTTGTTTATTGCTCGCCAAAAACTATCAAATGCACTCAAAAGCCTAAAACCGAAAAAAAGTTTACAGGAATCGACCAATCGAGCGAGCGAGCGAGCGAGCGAGTGAGTGCCATTCTCTACATCATATCTACAACTCGCTCTTGCGCAATTCACGAGTTAAAAATGTTACTTCTTTCTGACCAAAAAAACAAAAAAACAAAAACAAAAAACACACACACACAGGGATAATAAGGGTAGTAATAATTGCTCCATTTTTCGTTCCAGGATAACACTTCCTACAACTTGAGAATTTTTTTCCGTGGTCGTTTTTTCCCACATAAGCTAGACCAACAATTCATAAATATGAAGCAACTGCGTCTAGAATGCAGAATGCAGAATGATATCGCTCTTATCATGGTTGTTACTAAAGACTAAACGTTCTCCACTTTATTTTCTTCCTTTCGCAGTCTTAGTAAAATCGATGCTTGACATAGAAAGAGATCCTACATTTTTTAATAACCCTTTGGGGGTCTCTATAAGATATATCTCAGTCACTTGTTTACTTGTTCGGTCAACTGTGAACATCACTAAAATAAACATCACTCCGAAACTTGGCGTTATTGAAATATCACCTGGTTGGTTATGGGGACTTAAACAGTCACTTAGAAATTTTACTCTGTCAACCGTACTCACTTTTTTAGTCAGCTGCAAAAATTAGTTAGTTTGTACTTTATATTTGATAAAATGTAAGACACCACTCCAGTAGCTTGTTTTATCACATGGCACGTGAACGGTCATAAGCCGTGTATTTTTGGTCACGAAAGCTAACAAACTACTTACTTACCTATAACCAACATTCCTTAGTACGGCCCTCGGTTAGTAAGAAGTTGCTATTCACTTACTGGGTCGGTTGTTATCATAGTACTCTGTTAGTTGAAATAATTAGCTTGGTTACTCTTTCTGTTGTAAGAAATAATTAGTATGTTTTTTCTGTCCGTTGTGCGAACTTATTCGGTCGGTTGTAATCTTGATAAGGCAATTTAGTATTACCAACTGAGTTGAGAACGTAAGTTGGCAACCGTTGACTTGAGAGTTTCAAAGATGACGTTTCGAGGGTAAGTACTTCGCCAGAGCAAATGACGAAGGGCAAACGAAGTGCTAACGGAGGGCTAACAGAAGGCTTACGCTCGAAGCTTCAGCTTTAAAACTCTTTGCAGTGGCCAATTTACGTTACCAACTCAGCTGGTAATACAAAATTACCTTGTTTTATTCTCCCAGCGACGCAGCACCACAGTTTCTTTAGAAACTTACCCCTATAATCATGATACACTGCAAGTTGTACAGACTTTTTCGGTCGCTTGTAAACATGATACCCAACCAGTTTAAACCTTTTCTCAGTAACATCTGTCAGCAAATTCCCCATTTTGTTCTCCATTTATCTCCCAATAAAATGCTTAAGGTTAGGGTCATCTGTGATTCAGACAGATGATGTTATGAGGAGAATTAAGATGCAAGTCACTCTTATGGGTCAAAGGCGTAACGCACTGATTTGGTCGTTTGCAAAAGTTATTTTGTCATTTGTGTGACTCATTTGATTTAGTGGGTTGTAAAAACTAACGCTTCAAACGCTTCTGGTCGTCTTCCTATAACTATATGCAGAGCTGTTTTATTCGTGCCAGACTGGATTTCCTTTTCTTTCTCCTAACAGAGAGGCGGTAGCCGCACCCCTCGCTTGCCAGTACAATTAGACCAATGATTGTCTCTCTGACTTTCGGAGGAGGCTCATGGATTACAATTCTCTTCCTGAAGTACTTCTCCTTCACTGGTGAGTGTAAAACCATGTTTCTACGAGAAACATGGGTTAAATTACATCAATTTGATATTGTACTAATCATGACAATCAAACTTCAAAAAAACTTGCAAAAATTTTGTTTGGTTCCCAAAACACATGGCAAATTTTTATATTTTCAACTGGTGCTCTGATTTAATGGCCATCTAGTTCCCTAATCTGTGCCAAAATTTGAAGCCAAAGGCTACCAAGATTTCCACAACTTATCCTGATTTCTGCTAAAAATAAGTAATAGTGCTGATACTGCTTGTGCTCCAGAGTGGATTGCTGACAATACACCACAAAAAGAAAAAAGAGAAAAGTTTCTCTTCTAGGACCACAACAGCATGACCTCTGCTGAGGTTCCACCTAAAAGAGTTGATCTTAATTCTGGTATCCCAATTTTTCTTCTGTGGCTGTTGTACTCTCATAAGTAACATTTGCCTGTTTATGGTAATAAGAGGCAACTAGAAATACTCACTGAAGCAGAGAGAAAATTATCTGTCTGATGTGGCAACTTGAAAGAAGTTTGATCTGTGGGATACAGGTATACATATACGTCAAAGCGGAAAACTTGTGATTTAGCTCACATAAGAAAATTAAAGGTAAAATTCAAAACACATAACACAAAATATATTAAAGTTCACACGGCAACCAGGTGGACAATCAGACATAGTTTGATGCTACTCTGGTTTGCAGATTTAATGAATGTAACTGAAGAAGTTACAATTCATAGACCCAACGTTTCGACACTCCTGTCTAGTGCCTTCATCAGGGGTGATCTAAATGCTGCAACAAGAGGTCCTTTATATGATCACTAATTACAATGGTGGCTTGCTTCCTGACGCCTATTTACACCTCGTCAGAAAAAAAAAGGCTTCTAATTAGTGATCATATAAAAGGACCTCTTGTTGCAGTGTTTAGATCACCCCTGATGAAGGCACTAGACAGGAGTGTCGAAATGTTGGGCCTATGAATTGTAACTTCTTCGGTTACATTCATTAAATCTGCAAGCCAGAGTAGCATCAAACTATGTCACATAACACAACTTTTATATCATAGATTTTGCTTGTGTCCTTTACTGTGCAGTAACACCTAGCTAGAAATTGACTATTTGAAAAAACAAGTTATGTACGGTGTGTACCCATAATTCATTCACACCAATCTATAATCGGCGACAAAATTGTTGACATATCAACTTTTTTAATCCCCTATTTCTTTTTAGTTACTATTTACTTCAAAAAGTATTGGTGCTACTCTACATGCTGTCATTATAACTCAGCATGCTGACAAGGTGGACCTCGGTGGCGCTGTATTGTGTAATAGTTCCTACGTCACTGAAGCATTTGCAGCAATTAGCTCCACTCAAGTGAGATAGCCATGATACTTCTTGACGTAAGGGTGAATCTAGATTCAATTGGGAATGGGGAGTTCCAGAATGTTTACTGCAATAAATTTATCGTCTGTTGTGCGTGGCAGTTATTTTGTCCAGCCTAAAAGATTTTACCAAAACAACAAATGAGGTCCTTTATATGATCACTAATTACAATGGTGGCTTGCTTCCTGACGCCTATTTACACCTCGTCAGAAAAAAAAGGCTTAGAAAATACTGTGTACAAGGTAGAACTTGGATATCAGTTTCCTTACGAAGTTAAGCAGAAGTTTTAAAAACTAACCTTTCTTCCAACAATGGTTGATTTCAATACTTTGACTTGAACTGGTGATCAAAAATAGCTCATAAGGGTCTTAATGGGGTGATGGCTTTTACAGCTAACTAACAGTTAAAATTTTGGCCATTTTGCAGCTAACGGTTAAATTCTTTCCATATCCATCAAGAAAAAAAATTTTAGGATTAACTTTTTTACGACTAGCAATCAAAATTTTTCAATTTTTACGCCTAACGGCGACAATTTCTTTTTTAACGTTTCAGACCCTTTCATAGTGGGTTATTTTTTAACAGACATGATGTAATAATAACAATACTACCCCCGTGACTAGTTAAAATTGGACAAATCTAAAGGGAGGAGCATCCTACTTTCGGAGTTCGCTTGTAGCATCTTTCGCCTCGGCCAACCCTCTAACCCACAAGATTTAGATATTAATTCTCTGCACCATCTACCATACATTTCTTATCATTTAGGGTGTAAGAATTTGGTGTCAAATTAAACTATTTCCCAAATGCTTCTTGGATCTTCTTTGATTTTAAAGATATAGTGATTTTGTGATGGAGACAAATGTTATTTTTACCCTATCTTGGAGATGGAACAGTCGGAAAACGTAAACCCTACCTTACACGATTTGTAAACTGAATATCAGTTTACGAATACACACGAGACTCTAATGATGGTGACAGTCCTTCTCAGGACTACTCCAACCCTGACGACCAGATTACAAGATCAAATGTTACTCTTGGGTTCACACAATTTACTTAAGATCCTTGAGATTTCATTAACAATAGTCAAATAAAGAGGAAATTGTTGGATCGCTCTCATAGCTCATTACTCTTGTTTTCAGCGCTTCCCCACCCCCACCCTTACTCCGAATCACCTTCTTCTTCTGGCGCTGTGAACATCATTTACGCCAGGAACATCATTTACGAGTATGTAAGTCGACTTATATTCTAAAGTTGCATGCCACCTTTGTTCCTCGTTTCGTCCGCCTCTCTTATCGCCGTTTGAAGTTTGCAGGTCTGATTTTCATCTCTGATGTTATGGGAGCGCGAGTAGGATCTGTAAGATCAAATTTTCCCCAATGAATCTTTGCGCCTTCTTTGCCTCCATAAATTGCGTCTTCTTTCCATCCATAAATTCCGTTTAGATTTGAACAAATTTTACAGCCTTCCGGGAACCACCAGCTTTCTGTTACTTTTCCGGGACAGTTGTAATGCTTTTGATTCCAAGTGCTAAAATTTGAGCCATTATGAGCACTGAGAGAATCATGGACAGTCGCTTCTGTTAAAAAATTAATATCCACTCATAACTTCTTTGAAACTTCAGCTCAATTTTTGTCACGATGAAAATAGAATGGGAAAAAAAGATTTCTTTAATCTCGAGAAGACGAGTAGGGAAGGAAAAGAAAAACGTGAATCTGAGCACTGCTACATTGAGCTTTAATACTTGCATCAGAGATCAGATTTTCAGACCCTTTGCTGAGTCAGGGACTCGTTAAAGGACATACTACACGAAATCTATTCATTAATGTAACAGCACATATCCATGCGGTAATATGCTCACAAAGTACTTAGTCTAGATGAAAACGTTTACAAGAAAAAATAATCGAGGTGATGTATTGTTAAAAAGTTCATATGAAGATAAGTTCGATAATAGCGATGGCTATAACTGAGCTCTCGTAGTCGTTTTGTTGATACTCGATGGACCAAATTCATCTTCTCTATCCTCTGGCTTTGATTTCAAGACCGGGAAAACTGAAAGGTGCTACAATCATTTCATTTTTCTTTTCCTCCAGAAAATTGTATGCTTTTGCTTCACTGTTTTATTAATTGTGACGCAACGAAGCTACCTGTCATTAAATATTGCTTTTATTGACTTATAATAGTGTGGTTTGATCGTCCGGCTGAGTGTAGTCCTGAGAAGGACTGTTGTCGGTAGTGGTGACTGACGTTTCGACAACCTGAGCGGAAGTCATCATCAGATTCAAGTGAAAGGTTGTTGTCAGTCGAATGTACTTAGTCCTGTTTGTGTGTTTGTGTGTTTGTGTAAGTATATTCGACATGTTCGACTGACAACAACCTTTCACTTGACTCTGATGATGACTTCCGCTCAGGTTGTCGAAACGTCAGTCACCACAACCGACAACAGTCCTTCTCAGGACTACAGTGACCCGGACGATCAAATTACACTAGTACATGTTACCCCCGGGTTCAAACCATTTACTGTATTTATTGACTTACTTGCCAAATTGCCAATGTTCAGCTGGTACTTATCCGCTTCGTTCGCAATTCCAAACCATTTATATTCAGCGTAAACGATGTTTTTAGAATCATCCCCGAGATCCACTCTAAGCATGTTGTTTTTCTTCTCTTGAGTCAGCCGGTGGACCTTATCCAGTCCAAGCCAAAATTCACCAGCGAGGAAACTTCCAAAACCATGTTTGTAGTGAGACCAACTGCGGTTGAAATCGACGGAACCATTTAGTCTTCTCTGGAACACCGTCCAGCCTCCACCGTCTGTTGTCTGATCACAATATACATCAAAGGCTTCTGAGTTGTCAGTTTTGATTGTATAAATACCACTGATTCTCTGACCAGATCTGTGCAGCTCAGCACAATTTTTAACTGTTGAAGAAAAATACGAAAGTTTCGTCAACAAAGTTGCACGTAAATGAGCAGAATGGAAATAAAAACGCCGAGGATCGTAGATGAGAAAGGAATCTGACTTTCGTCGACCACATCCTATGCCTCTCTGTGACGACTGTCTTTGAGCAAATTTTGATTTAGCCTTAGTGTTAGTGCGCAACCTCGCACATGTATGATTTGCCTACGCAGCCTGTAATTGATGAAATTGATACAGAGAAAATTGAACGAGTGATAATTTAGCTTGTCATCACAATGGTGTAAGAAGGAAATCTTACTTACATTTACGCGCTGAAGCTGAGATTAGAATCACCAACAGTATTGCCCCGAACAGCCAATAAGAAACTCTGAAAAGGGAATTCATCCTATATAATGTGAAGCTCTCTCTTGCTTTAAGCAACTAAAGGTTATAATATGTAACAGTGACAGACTGAAGATACACCCTCATTTATAGTCTGGTTTGGAATTGATAACATATTTAGGCCATTGCATCAAAAGCTATTTTTGGGGGTGCCAAACATCAAAACTTAGTGAAAGAGTCTCCAGAATTGTCTGGATCGACCATACACCTTACCGTGAGCGATGCGCTTAAGCCAGAGTTCTTGCGGTGGGGTAGAATTTGTCAATCAAAATCAGTGGCTTTTACGCATTACCGGCAGGAAGAATGAAACATCTTACAAGCAAAATTGATCTCAACTTGATCCCTACAATCAATTAGCGTTTGAAACTAATTGAAGCAGTGACCAAAACCAAGAAGTTGCACATTGTCGGAAGAATATTTCGTATTAAAAGTCACAAGAAAGTTCTCTTGTTGACTGTTGTGCTGATAATCGAATACCTATGGTGTGCTACATTGAAAAAGATAAACATTACTGGTATTTAATAATTACTAGTAGTTATTGTTATTGAGTTCTCCCACGTCATTTCCTCTGCTAGATAATTTGACTTTAATTGTTACCGAGGGATTATAAACTGGGTCATGGGGATAAAGTTATCTCAGTTTATAATTTCTTGTAATCGCTTAAGATTAACAAAGATGAGTAAGCCGCCGCCAGGAGTTTTGTGATGTCGACCTTTCCAGAGTTATGCTTAACGCGGGTGTTGATTCTTTTTAAAAGCTAAATACTTTTCTAATTGCTAGAAAGATACTTAATCAGCTACATTCTTTAAAGATACTTAATCAGCTAAATACTTTAAATACTTTTTTTTTCAATAACCCTTTGGTGGTCTTAAGTAGGTATATCTCAGTCACTTGTTTACACTTGTTCGGTTAACTGTGAACATCACTAAGTCAATTTGTGTCATAAATAAACATCACTCCGCAACTTGGCGTTATTGAAATATCACCTGGTTGGTTAGGGGGACTTATACAGTCACTTAGAAATTTTACTCAGTCAGCTGTACGTACTTTTTTTAGTCAGCTGCAAAAATTAGCTACAAATAGTTTTCTCTCATTTGATTATCGTCATTGCGTTGATGTTGGGAAATCTTGAATACCAAGGACAGTCACACTTGTTGTGGAATATTTCGTATTAAAAGTCACAAGAAAGTTCTCTTGTTGACTGTTGTGCTGATACATCATTTCCTCTGCTAGATAATTTGACATTAATCGTCACCGAGAGATTATAAACTGGGTCATGAGAATAAAATTATCTCAGTTTATAATTTCTTGTAATCACTTAAGATTAACAAATATGAATAAGCCGCCGCCAGGAGTTTTGTGATGTTGAACTTTCCAGAGTTATGCTTAACGCGGGTGTTAATTCTTTTTAAAAGCTAAATACTTTTCTAATTGCTAGAAAGATACTTAATCAGCTACATTGTTATTCTGATACCTCGACTGAAGGGTTTAGGGTCCAAACATCACCTTATGTGATTGTCCAAGGGCAATTGGAAGAGCAGACGGAAGTCTGGATAACTAGAGCTAAATCAAAGTGCTCCGTGAGCAAAGTCGTGAATTGACACATGATTTTTTTGGATTATGTTTAATGTTATCTGGTTTAGGGAATTTTGTGGTTGATTATCATATCTACAGTACGAGCAGTAGTTCCGTGTTCGCTAACGTAGCAAAGAAACAAAGTAACGTTGGGATAAGAAGGCATTACAATTGAAATGATCATGCTATTACATTTGACAAGGGTGGATGATGTCATGTGTTTTAAACGTATATCGTTTTCGTTTCTGGTTCAAAAGAAAAGGTTGGAAGTGAATGTGGGTGAAAAGTGAAATTTACTGTCTATCATTGTAAATATTACAAAATCAAGGCAATACTGTCTTAATGAAAACATTAACGATTCCCTCTTTATCGAATGAGACAAACGGGAACTACTTTTGAGTGATATAACTAAGCCAAGACTGCCACCGTCATTTTGGATCTCCGCCCGGGTAGATTTTAGTCACTTGCTAGGCAACGTGTAATCAAGAAAAAGATAGAATTTAATTTCAGGCCTATTTGCCAATTTTGTGGTGTATAACTTTCGCATTTTAGTACGTAATATTTATTTTGAATCTTCAAATTGTCTTGAAACTTAAAAGATAATTGTTCATTAAAAATTCACTGAAAATCGGTACCTAAAATTGTTTGTATAGGTGTTATTTGATTTTCGTGTTAACTTGTAATTTCGTCAGTCGCCGGCATCTTCTGTTGCTTCACACAGGAAAAACACACGATACGAAACGTAATGATCGATTTTGTCCTCAATCTCATGCCATAACAGAAAAAGCTTTTGTACATCTGCAAACTCCGAGCACTTCGCAGTAAGTGATATTTTCAATGAATCTTCGGATTGTTTTCAAGTTCAAGAATTGTAAATTACAATTTTATGAAAAACGAAGGTTGTTCTGTTATTTCAGTGTGAATCCTTGCATGCCTGCCAGTTGCTGGCGCCGCTTGTTGAAACTAAAACGAAAAAAAAAAACTTTTTTAAGATTATCATTGGCTTCTTTTTCACCCCACCACTATTCTTAGCAACAAAGGTCGCCATTTCGTTTGTTTATTGCTCGCCAAAAACTATCAAATGCACTCAAAAGCCTAAAACCGAAAAAAAGTTTACAGGAATCGACCAATCGAGCGAGCGAGCGAGCGAGCGAGCGAGTGAGTGCCATTCTCTACATCATATCTACAACTCGCTCTTGCGCAATTCACGAGTTAAAAATGTTACTTCTTTCTGACAAAAAAAAAAAAAAAAACCAAAAAAAAAAAACACACACACACACAAGAATAATAAGGGTAGTAATAATTACTCCATTTTTCGTTCCATGATAACACTTCCTACAACTAGAGAATTTTTTTCCGTGGTCGTTTTTTCCCACATAAGCTAGACCTACAATTCATAAATATGAAGCAACTGCGTCTAGAATGCAGAATGCAGAATGATATCGCTCTTATCATGGTTGTTACTAAAGACTAAACGTTCTCCACTTTATTTTCTTCCTTTCGCAGTCTTAGTAAAATCGATGCTTGACATAGAAAGAGATCCTACATTTTTTAATAACCCTTTGGGGGTCTCTATAAGATATATCTCAGTCACTTGTTTACTTGTTCGGTCAACTGTGAACATCACTAAAATAAACATCACTCCGCAACTTGGCGTTATTGAAATATCACCTGATTGGTTATGGGGACTTAAACAGTCACTTAGAAATTTTACTCTGTCAACCGTACTCACTTTTTTAGTCAGCTGCAAAAATTAGTTAGTTTGTACTTTATATTTGATAAAATGTAAGACACCACTCCAGTAGCTTGTTTTATCACATGGCACGGGAACGGTCATAAGCCGTGTATTTTTGGTCAAGAAAGCTAACAAACTACTTACTTACCTATAACCAACATTCCTTAGTACGGCCCTCGGTTAGTAAGAAGTTGCTATTCACTTACTGGGTCGGTTGTTATCATAGTACTTTGTCAGTTGAAATAATTAGCTTGGTTACTCTTTCTGTTGTAAGAAATAATTAGTATGTTTTTTCTGTCCGTTGTGCGAACTTATTTGGTCGGTTGTAATCTTGATAAGGCAATTTAGTATTACCAACTGAGTTGAGAACGTAAGTTGGCAACCGTTGACTTGAGAGTTTCAAAGATGACGTTTCGAGGGTAAGTACTTCGCCAGAGCAAATGACGAAGGGCAAACGAAGGGCTAACGGAGGGCTAACAGAGGGCTAACAGAGGGCTAACAGAGGGCTAACGAAGGGCTAACGGAGGGCTAACAGAAGGCTTACGCTCGAAGCGTCAGCTTTAAAACTCTTTGCAGTGGCCAATTTACGTTACCAACTCAGCTGGTAATACAAAATTACCTTGTTTTATTCTCCCAGCGACGCAGCACCACAGTTTCTTTAGAAACTTACCCCCTATAATCATGATACACTGTAAGTTGTACAGACTTTTTCGGTCGCTTGTAAACATGATACCCAACCAGTTTAAACCTTTTCTCATTAACATCTGTCAGCAAATTCCCCATTTTGTTCTCCATTTATCTCCCAATAAAATGCTTAGGGTTAGGGTCATCTGTGATTCAGACAGATGATGTTGTGAGGAGAATTAAGATGCAAGTCACTCTTAGAGTTCAAAGGCGTAACGCACTGATTTGGTCGTTTGCAAAATTTATTCTGTCATTTGTGTGACTCATTTGATTTAGTGGGTTGTAAAAACTAACGCTTAAAACGCTTCTGGTCGTCTTCCTATAACTATATGCAGAGCTGTTTTATTCGTGCTAGACTGGATTTCCTTTTCTTTCTCCTAACAGAGAGGCGGTAGCCGCACCCCTCGCTTGCCAGTACAATTAGACCAATGATTGTCTCTCTGACTTTCGGAGGAGGCTCATGGATATCGACTTGCTGATCTATGAGAGGCAAATAGGAAGTAGTTAAATAAAAAGTCAAAGAGACTAGCAGTGATTTAGATGGTTGAAGGCACATGCTTACTAATGGAAGCAAAAAGCGTCATCTAATTATGTGTAATTACAGTTATTTCTGTTTGAAGCCAATAGACTTTCAGGGGCTGGAGCATCAAATTGCGTGACGAGCCCTTTTCATATAAATGGGGAATCAGAGATTTTGAAAATACCTTTAAAAGACGTCGATCCCACAAAAATGCACCAACTGCAAAAACAGATGCAGATACCACGAAAGCGATCGCAGTCAGCTGAAAAATTGACAATCCAGTCCTTCTTACCAGTGTTCGTGATTCAGATTTCAGATCTGGAAAAGGAAAATAATCTGCTTATAACAGAGCTATCAATTCTACAAAAATTCAATTACTTTGCTTCTTTTCAGCTCTCTTTAAATCACCAACTACTAATTAGGAAATTCTGCCCATCTCAGGCACAGGGGACGTCCTTCTAGCAATTTGATAAGTTTTCACGGGAACAGAGAGTTATTAGATATTAGTTTATGTAGGGAAGTAACCATGGTGGTCAGACACAATGAACATAATTAAGACATACTCTAGAAGTGCTTGAGACTATCGACGTTGCTGTCAGAATTGAGCCTATTTTTCTTTTGTACTTACTCTTAATGCATCTATTTGATCAAACTTTGTAGAATGTTGATGTCTGTGTCGAAAGATTAGTTTAAATACAGAAGGCACAAAAGCTAACTCGCACAAAAGCTAAATCCATGATTTTATTACCTAAATCATTGACATGTAAGTTGACCTCGATTGATGCCTTTCCCCCTGCTATGTTACTTGCAGCACACTGATATTTGCCCCCATCCTCCTTCTTCACTTTTTCTATAAACAGTTGGTAATGAGTGGTTTGGTCACGTCGATCTCGAGTGATCATTGTCTTTGAAGTAGATTGGACATCATATAAATTGTTGTTCTTGATCCACCTGACGGTTGACTGAGGATGACCAGTGGTAATACAATTCAAAGTAACGTCAGAACCGATGACAACACTTAGATTCCACCGATCTTCAACAACTTGAGTTACAGTTTGAGTGCCTGATGGGTGGAAGTTGGTCCCTGGGGTGGATTGCGTTGAATGCCGATCATTGCCCCCTTCACGTGAGATGCTTGGCTTGGGATGAATCTTGGCGGTGCAGATAAAAGTTACAGTAAAACTGACAACAGCGATTTGGTTCGTGGGATCTTCCACATTTTGAATAGGTTGGAGGTCTGAGGAATGACAGTGAGGCAATTATTGTTGCTATGATAGCTGCAGCTTCGCAAACTCTCTTGCAAATAGACTAGAAGGAAGGAAGACACGCCTAAGGAGTGGCTTAAGGCAATTAAAAAGCTGGAAACGAGTCCTACCTATTTCCAAAGGTACTTGGCAAGTGACAAATCAACAGTTATTTCTCATATTTTAAAACAGGAAGGATCATTTGTTGTTGCTGTCATTAAATTTCCCTTCCACGTCCTTTTTTGCCTTCCTCTTCAATTTTCCTCTTTTCTTTTCATTTTGTACGGTGATTTTTTTTCCCTCTCACCATGCTAATATTCTGTTCGTCACTTCAGGTTGAAGCTAATTTTGTTTCATAACCTTCCTTTTGACGAGACATAGTTACAAAGCTTTTCGGATAAATCATCTGCACAGTTTTTAAGAATAAATTGTCATTTTCGGGCGCAAAAAATGAATGCCTCTTACCTAAATCCTCTGTGAATAAGGAAGACACTCTTGATACCCTTTCTCCAGCGCTGTTATTAGCCACGCAGTTGTATTTGCCAATGTCTTCCATCTTAGTTCCTTTTAACAAGAGCTGACTGCGAACGGTTTTGTTGTCTAACAAAATAACCTTCTCCTCTACCCTTGGGTTGGTTTGTAAAGCATATGGATCATCGTTCTTCACCCAAGAGATGGTTGGCCTGGGATGACCGGTGGCAGTGCAATTGAAAGTTACGCTGGAATTGATAAAAGCACTTTGGTTCTTTGGATATTCAATAATTTGAATGTTTTGGGCTCCTGCAGAACAAAAGTGAGACAGTCGTTAAAGTTTATTTTTGTGAGAACAAAAATACTTAAAGAAAAGTGGCATTGAAGGTTTTTAAGGGTTGGTTGAAGTGAAGGTAGGCATCTAGACCCTCTATCACTCGTTCTGTTGTATCGTCAACAGCTTGCATAATACGTAAGAAAAGGTCAGACATTTAGTCATTAGACACTGAGATCAAGAGCGAAAATGTCCTCTTGAGTTATTTTCCATCAAATTTTATGTAGCCATATATTTTTTACAATATTCCGTCAATAGAAGAATTAAAATTTTGTGGCTTAGAGAGACCAACCCAAGGGTAGAGGAGAAGGTAATTTTTAATAACAACTAAGAAACTGACAGCTAATAATAAAAATCTCATGTTGACATGACACGATGGACTGCTGATAGAGTTGTTTCTTTTCTATCTTTTTTTTACTCGACCCGTCTTATTCAAATATTTTCCATGTATCTTTTTCCTGCTTTGTTGTTTACCTTCAGGACGAATTTCGACTGATTCTCTCCTGCAGTGGGCACGATAACCATTTCCTGCTTCACACGTGTAGCTTCCAAGTTGATCTGCCGTCAGTTTTTCGATCATTAATGTGCATCTATGTTTTAACACCATGTGTCTACCCTGTACACATCTGTATCCAGCTGGCTTGTCCTGTGGATCGTACCACTGAATATACTCGGTCCATCGATCGTAATATCCTGCATCAATACTTCTGGGCTGCGCCGTACAGGTCAGGTTTACCGCTGTACCTACGGATAATTCTTGCCTTGGTGGATTTATGGAAATCTCTACATCAGGTATTACTGGAGGAGGGAGAAAGATAGTCCATTAAACATATGTTACATAGAGAATTTGTTAGGGGCCATTCTGAACTTAAAAAGATAGATTGCCAGTTCGAGAAAAACTCAAAATACCTCCGCTACTTACTAGTCAGTTTAGTGTTGCAGTTCATGCCCGCGGCTTGAGGGAGATTTAAGAGACCGCTCGTCACTATAAGGACTACCAGAAAAGGTTTAGAGGCATCATCCGGCCAGGTATTGATTCCCATCAGTACACGTTGGCGAGTAAATGTGAGTCTTGTTCAAATAGCCTGTAAGGAAGATTGCTCGCGTAATAAAGAAAAAACGTAGCATTCTTAAGGGGGCATAGCGGTTGGATTTTGAATAAAAATTGAAAATTTCACTTTTTTTTTTATTTCCTCTTAAATGATTCTCAGATAATGTTTCAGATAATATATGTTTTTTTAGCTTTTTTTATTCATGCACCGCTAAAAACAGCCCCTTTGAAGGCCAGTACGTTGCTTGTTTTTGGTTACCATGACAACCACAGGTAATCCAATCGTTTTGGCACGTTTCATTTCTCCAAAATTGTACTAAAACTAAGTCCATTCGATCCTGAGACCCTTAAGTTCAGCCCCACATTCTTAAGTTAAAATTTCCACCAATATGAAGCCCGGTTACAAAGCACTCAATCTTCACAGATCGATCGTGAGTGTCCATCTTGTCTTCTTGCCCGTAAACCGTGCCAAAAGTTGGGGAAAAACAATCAAACAAACAAAGGAATTATGCTTTAAAAAGAAAGAAAGGTTTTAAAGGAACCCAGAAGCAGGAAGTAGCGCAGAAGAGAAGGAAAGCCCCTCAAATTTCTTGAAGAGTATTTCAGTTACTGACACCAAATTTGGTACAAAGATTGTTTTTGTAATTATCTGCAATGTAATTGAGTAAAATTTATTTTTCTAAAATACAACTGATTTTATAAGTAATTTGTCTTTTGCAAAATCTAATTGGTTACCATGACAACCAAAATGGTCAAAAGGGAATAGCTCTCAATAAGGTTGCAGCCCATTTGATAATGCTTTATCATACCAAAAATTAGGTGATTATTTTAAAAGGAAATGACAAAAAGGGGGGGGGCAATTTGACCCTCAGAATAGCCCTTCACAGTAACTTGTTGAAATATGTTTACTCAAAAAATTTCATGTTGTAGGCAGTTGCTTGGGTGTACCTCTTGCCAAGTTTGAGGTGATTTGATTGAATTATTGATTAAATATGATTTTTTAAGTCAGTTACCAAAATCTTACCATAAACCAACCGTAATGCCCTCTTAAAATAGTGAAATGTCAGCGTCATGATCAGGATCTCTTTTTTTAACATAAGTGGTTGAGAATAATTACTGACGCCCGGGGAACGCAATAACGGTCAAATCGTTGAAATTTTTTTTTAAAAAGTAAAAAAAAAAAGAAAACCAAAAAAACAACGACGACGAAAAAAGAAAAAAAAAAAAAAAAAAAAAACAGAATCGGAAGAGTGTCAAACTTAGTTGACTCTAATAACATGATTATGGTGAGCTAAGTTGATTATAGTAGATAGATTATATTCGCTCAGTTTGATACCTTTCTTTTTTAAGAATACCGTGCAGCTACATTACCGATATTTTTTATATCTTCTTGTTCTATTTTTGATTTTTCGAGTTAACATTAACTCTGTGTCAATTGAGAAATAAGCTTTGGACAGCCTATGTAGTCTAGAAACACAGACAAGTTTGGGCGCTAATTGTACATGAATTTAGCTTTTGTACTGGCAGCAGTAGGAGTTTAAGAAATCCTACACCGTGACTTTTGTTAACTTGCTTATTGTGGTAGCTAGTCTTCCAGAAAAACTCAGCATAATATCATCAAAAGAAAACAGCAAAAAACTACAAATTTGACAATCATTAGCGTAGGGAATATTTGCTGTAAAAAGCCTTAAAGAAAAAGCTGACTGGCTATCAAGTGAACCTCAGTAAACCCAAATGTAGTTTTGACGGGTATTGTCGCCCTTGTCGGTTTGTAATTAGCTTCGACGGCGATTTTCTTCTTTCATCTTCTCGTTCTTACTCAACAGATTAAGACGTCTTAATCGTCTGTTAAAATACCCATTTATGGAAAGGTATGTCACGAGAGGTGCCTGATAAGTGCATTAATGTTCAGAAAAACACGGACCCCAATTTTCTTTTTCGTTGTCAAATACTTGGTAAACAACGCAAACCAGACTAAAAGATGCGTGGCATGTCACCAGGTTAATTCTAATGATTCCATGTTAGGTCTCATACCACAGACTTAGAAACAAAATACGAACCAGGTAAGAACTGACGAATTCTTAGAGCGAAGAAAGCCTAGAATAAGTTTTAGAGGAAAGATTTTGTTCAGCTCTGTAGAGTGGGATTCAGAGTGTGAAGAGATATGAAACTTATGATCAATTGCCGCGTGTGAGCCGGGCACTTACCTTGACTGTCCTTCGAGCTCCGGGAAAGTACCGTTGAAGCTGCCTTGAATTACTGGTTTTATGCTCCAACCTACAAAAAGTATCATATTTCGAGACGTGGGAGTCGAACGCTAATTTCGGTTTTTTTGTCAAGGATTACTATGTTATATCCGGTAATTAAAACATTAGCCACCCTTTCCAGTATTTTCCACCACGCACATCGTAACTCAACGCTCCTGTCTTGTTTATCAATTCCAAATCATAACTTTTCCTTTAAAAATGTTGGGCGAATTAGCCTTCAAATAACACATTGCAAGGTAGTCTGGAGAAAAGGTGACTATGTGGGACTATGTATTTTTAATTTAAACTAAAATTAACAGAATGGTGACGAAGTGACTAGAGAAAGATCAATGACAGTCCTCTATCTACACAGGCAGCCCAAGCTCACGTCTCGAGAAGAAGCAAACTAGTAATTCATGAAAGCGTCACGTGTTGAATGCTCTGGCATTCTCGGAACTCGTTCAGCCTATCAAAATAAGCAAACATAAGTCCGGAGCATATGTGTCATGTGGGCTGAGAATCAACCCACTCTTTGCACGCTTGAGGTAGAGTTCTTATGATTTCGAAGACGTATATTTTTTTCTAAGATATATATAAAGCGCTATTTCTCCTCTCTCCGTAAGGACTGGACATTAAAAAGAGGTGAGGCGTAAATCTCCTTAATTGGAATTCAACACTCTGATTCCAACCTTTCCGTTTGGACGAAAAGCTCCCGTTTCCGGGGATCGTTTTCCCCAATGCTCTTCCTTTCTAGCTCATTCATGCTGGAAGCAACGAATGAGATATTGTGGTGAAGCAGATGTTGACGGAAGTTGTCGATTGTGGACGGAAGTTGTATTCCGTAGACGGAAGTTGCATTGTGGACCGTGAAGGGAAATAGTCTCGCGTGTTACTCCCCGCCCCCACTAAGTGGAAGTCAAAATTAATTTCGATGAAGCTCAAAAACTCACATGGAAAGAAATAAAATGTTTGTATGGTTTAATAAAAATAATAACCTCAAATCACGTTTCCGAACTTCTACAAATACAACTTGTATCGAGTAGCCGAAATGTTCACACCTAATTTCTATATAGAAAAGCGAAGCGTTGCTCTCGTGACTGGCCATTTGTTTACTTTTCTGGTAGTTTTATCCCTCATCTGTTTGGTGACTACGCAAATATTAATATGCGAAAATCAGACTGCATGAAGGCTTGAAATTCTATTAAGAACGATTGTGGCTGCTTTGTTTAAAATCAAATGCAGTAACCACTTTGTTAAAAACAAGAGAAATCATAAATCGGGCAAGGAATACTTCATAATAGTGCAAATGATGGTGAAAGATGAGGGCTACTAATATTTTGCTGTTAGAGCAACATTTGATACCTGATTATGACCACCGGCCCACCCCCCGCCCAACAAACACATACACATACCAACAAAAAGGACACTGTCTGCCTAATGACCTCTATTCATCCCACCTCCAGCCCACACAACGGCTTTTTTCCAATTCCCATCGCGAAGAATGCACACGTTTTCTTATCACACAACTGCCCCCAAAATAAAAGAAATTTATTCTATAAGTCTTAAAAAATCACATAAACTGAATTCAACTGTACCTATATTCAGCAAGTCCAAGAAATCAATATAAACTTAAGCCATGATATGAATGAGCTGGCTCCAAGAGCCCTTTGATTGCTTTTGCTTTGTTTTGTTTTTTTTCCCTTTCCATTGACAAATAAGAATGTTTTTTCTGCTTCACTAAAAGTATTTTTAACACGATTCTTTCTTGCTCGTGTCCAACCTTCCCCTTTATATTTCAAAGGGTTGAAATCTCTGGCTCCATAACTCTATACTTGAGAGGCTATCTCATCAGATATTTGGCAATGTTTCATACAAGATTTAGAGGGAGTTACTAGTTTTCGAGCTAAGCTCGAGAAGACACTCGCGTAACTTCCTTGGTTCTTTCTAAATGCTTCGTAACTGACTTATTTCTTGTGGAATGCTTAGTCAATACCCATTCCATTCCAGCCGTGGAATTGCATATCTTGAAATAGATACGATTGACTGCTCATCGCTTCCGCTTCGTTTCCGTTTCCTTCAGCGGTATCGTTGATCATTTACCAAATTTCTTAGTCTGACAATTTAAACCTTTTCACGGTTTTTGCTTCTTGTCCCTTTGTGCTTACCGAGAAAGCCTTTCTCACCGTAAAAGGGTATTTTCACCGTTGGTTGACAAGTAAGCTTATAGATGTCAACAAACAATGATTTTATCATCACATTATCCGACCCGGAAGTGATTGTTTGGAGAAATGTCACAAGCTTGGGACATTTGGGAATTATTGGTTCATGTGATGGCTCACCATTGAGTCTACGTGGCTCAATGGTAGAGCTTCCGAGCATGGAATCTGAAGGTGTGAGTTTCGATCCCTCTTGGGGACTCGGAGATGTTTTCTTTGTCCTAACTCCGTGACAAGACAGATAAACATTTCAGTCTGTTCTTTATTAATAATATTGTTCTGTCGAAAGAGGGAACTCTCTTAGGCGGTCAAATAACCATTTGATAACCATCTAATAACCATTTTCAGAGTGACACATTAGTAATGACTGACAATTCGACAAAATAGGCGGAAGTCCTCATCAAAGTCAATTGACTCTGATAACAATGATGATGACAGTCTTCTCTGGATTACTCTATCCCGGACGACCAGTTTACACGATCAGAAAGTTATTCTTGGGTTCACACAATTTACTGCGGAACTAAGATATT